CAGTCATTTTGACTTCAGCTTAGTTTGTTTCTACACAAGGTTAGCAATAGTTTATTTGGTGAAGATCTTTTGCAATACACATAAATGAAATAAACTGGATATCATTTTAATCCGTTGTCATATCAAGACAAACTGATGGCAGACTATTTATGCCTCAAATGCAACAATCCATGGTGGTGGAAATCAATATGAACTATCATTTATTTTGGACAAGCTACACTATAATGTCTCCAAACAGTGTGCTTGTGCCTTGTGTGCACTTCATTTGAGCTAGTGATTTATGTGTATGAGACTGGTGATAGACTGAACTTTACTTTAGTGACTGTATGTGTATTTGTATGTTCTTAAAATTTTTCAATAAGATGCAGAAACTTCAACAGCTCAAACCAGTTAAACATCAAAAGTAGAGCATTCTTCACATTTTTTGGACTTTCTTATTGCCCCATGAACACTACATGCATATATATATATATATACATATATATATATACTTGATTTGGATTCCTCTAGATAGTGATATCACTACACCTCACATTTAATCTTGCACATTTACCCTTAGTAATGCTGATTACACATGGAAGTTCAAGTACTATTTGTTATATGTGCTTAATATTTGCATCAAAGTGTGTGACATCACTGACTAGACGAGGGCAACCAGACCATATATAGTATAACATAAAATCATAACTAATAATCCATATTTTAATAGTACATAAGTTTTAAGTTCTTAATCTTATGAGGAAACATTAAAAACACATCCTGAATTTCCCCTAGTGTCGGAAATGTGACATCTAGGCATCCCCTATTCTCTAATATATTTACCACCCCTCCAAGAAGTACAAAATTTAATGTCTCATTCACAACATGTATAGATGGCACATAACATAAGCACAAACACTGCAGGTAGCCGAGTTCTGGGTGAGGACCTTGTTCATCTTTAGCATTCTTGACCTCAACACCGAGATTGTAAAAGTTCACTGGTACATGTACACATACAGTAATTTGTTGCTATCCTAGACCCATGCACTTTGGAGCTTATGTAAGTACCTCGTAGCATGTTCAAAATGTCCATTTGGCAAGGTTTCTTGCAGGAAAATTCGAGAATGTATTTGTTTTTACTTGGATTGTCAACATGTATTTAAGTCGAGTCACAAGTCCTAATGGGCAAGTCTCAAGTCATTTTGTCTGAGTCTCAAGTAAAAAAAAATTGCAATTTGAGTCCAACTCGAGTCCAAGTCATATGACTTGAGTATACAACTCTGGGAGCATCCTTTTGGTGTTCCAAATGTTTCATAAAACAGTTGGATATGGTTACATCAGTAGATAGCAAGATTATAAGCAAAAAGTGTTCCAATATTAAAGCATTCTCTTCACACCCACAAGTACTTATACAAATGGCCAGCTTGTTTTGTTCCACATCCAGTAGGGCAGTGCTTTTATGTGAATGATTTTTTCTGCCCTCTGGATTCTGAACACTAATTTGAAATGTTAAATTTTTGAAATTGTTTCCTGAAAAACAATTCATTAGTCTACTGTTTTTCATATTTATATAATTAATATCATCAAATACTTTCACTATCAATCAAAACTGGGAAAGCTTTGAGAAACTTGGTTATATTATGTTCTCACCTCTCTGGGTGTTTTGAAAATAACTAGAGAAGCCAATGGATAATTCTATTTTCAACAGTTATGAATCATAATAAAACAGTGATTTCTTAAAAATAATTTATATATATATATATATATACACAAGTAAATAGACGCGACCTTTGCAAGAAAAAATAGT